CCACAATGGATCGGGCCGTGTTACGTCATTTCGAAATCGGTCACGTGGTCCGTTGTTTAAAATGTGGAATTTTTTGGAGTCGCGCTCCATTACGTGTAGAAATTTTTCCGTCGAAAAAAGAAAAAAATTCCGCGCGCTTACAGCTGCCCGGCGATATATATATATATATACGTATTTAATTACGACCGCACGCCCGCAGGAAGTGGATGAGCACGAGACGAACTTTGACCCGCGCGCGCTTTGAGTCGGAAGAGCGAAAACTGTGGCGGCTGTTGGAAAATGCGTGGGACGCCGGAGACGCTCGACCATTGGGTGGCGTCGGCGGTCACGTGACTCCCTGTGTGTCCGCCGTGTGTGTGAAGTCAGTCGCTTATCCGCTCTCACACCTGGCGCGGTTGAAAAAGTGGTCCGACCTTGGGCAGTTTGCGGATTCGCCGTTTAATTGTTCGAATCGTTTCGATAGCTGCGGGATGGGCGCGGATGGTTCCGCCCTTCGACCCCCGATTTAACGTCTCCTCGGCTTTTGCGCGCATCTTCACTCGGTTTATCGTTTTCGGACGCTTCCGAAGAGTTTCTTCTTCTTCTTCTTCTTTCGAAAGAAGACCCGACATTCCAGTTTTTGCCGAGAGCGAACGACCTTTCTCCAGGAATGCGTCGAATTTAAATGCTAAACAATGACGGACGGATAAAAAGTGCGCGTCTAACAGGCGCATCGTTCGAATTTCGTGCGTTTTGTAGAGTACGGAAGCGCCCTCCTCGAATCGCTACTTTTGCACCCCCGAATTATTTCCTTTGGAAAAGAAGAGAAACGAGGCCGGGATTTGGAGGAAGATTCGAAGCGCGCGCCACTGTCATTCGATTGACGTAGAATTAGTTCGGTGCCGTAAGAGCGCCCGTGGTCGAATTCTATCACGCGTTAGAAATTCCAAAAGCAAATGTGGCTGGCAATAGACGATAACGCCGCATTCTTCTTTTCTTTCTTTTGTATTTGTGGACGTGGATTTAGTCTGGCGATTTTATAGACTATCCGTTTTTAAGTAGCATTTTACGGTGGCGGAACCAGTTTTCCCAGGAAAAAAAAAATAAACCAATAAAAATCGAAAGGCGCGTATTTGCCGGCCGCGTAGTCCGGGGTTCGAACCTCCGCCTTTCTGGCGGTTTAATGGTAATTGCGCGGAACCCGGATGTAGCCACGGGCCTTTTTAAAAACTGTTTAATAAGCTTTGGCACGAAGGGATGGATGGCGATTCTTTCTGGAAAACTGCCGCGCCACGGATCAACGACTTCGGTCAATGGCTCGGCACACGTCAAAACAGAATGATACCGATTGTCACCTATTCTAAAAAAGTCCGATTCTTCACGCTCGGAGGCCAGAAACCTCAAAAATAGTAACTTTAAAAATTAATTAGAATATTCCGGTCTTTATTATATTACGTCACACGTACATAACTTCTCCCTTCGACGTTTTCCTTAATGGATCTTATCGAAAATAATCCGGACAGAAAGAGAAAAAAAAATGGAAGAAACGTATTTCCTTTCGGCTAAATCCTGTAAGGAAACACGAAACACTTGGTCATAATTAATGCGGAACGGTGGGATCCATATTGAAACCACATGTCGCCTGGCTACCGACTTTCCTCTCCCCCTCCTTATCGCGCTAATCGTGGCGAATCGTAATCCGATAGCGGTTATTTTTAGTTAAATAAGGCTCTACTACGGCGCACCGGCTTCGAAAAGTAATATAATGGCGTATGCGCGCCTTACGTTCTTCTGCGTCTGCCCCGTGAGTAAGGATGCGTTCGGGCAGGCTCTTCTTACGTTACGTTACGTCGCGTCCAGCCGAACAAATAGCGCCTTTTTACATTGGTCGGACGTAACGTGACGTAAGAAGAGCCTAAATACGGAACGGAGAAGATAGGCGAGTTTCCGTTGTTGACCGTAAAATTAAATGGCCGGTGATTGATAGTTATTAGGTCCTCCTGAATTTCTTGGAGTGTGTTCTTACGGTATCCAGTTTCTCTCTCATCGACAGTTAAATACTTTCCTGATCCAAATAAAGGAAATTGTCCAAGATTATCCAGGTCGATCGCTAAATAAGTAGCAGTTATTAAAGTGGAGGAGATTCGGGTGCAAAGAACACGGGAATACATCCGCACTCCCTCGTCTCGTTTTTTTTAATAACCCAGCGCGGGAGGGGATGGTAAATTCCCCCTTTTTATAAGCTTATTTAATACATACGTAACCTTTACGGCGCAGTAAATTTACCAAACAGATAAAGAAAAAACCGTTAAAAATGGGCGAAACGATCGAAGTTTACGGGCACACCCCCGGGGACGAAAGCCCTTACCGAGTTTCGTTACAAGAATTTGTCCAAAGGTCAAATTCTGGGATTTTTTTTTCCCTTAAGCGTCTTCCGCACCGGTCTTTAACGAGTATATTTTAAAACCAATCCTATTGTTCTAAGTCAAACACGTGTATTCTGCGGACACGAAATGGGATAATGCGTGGGTTAACTAAATCGAGTTGTGTCACATGCCAGTAAACCAAAATGACCACCGTATTTCCTAACTATCCGCAGCCTAACTACGGGCCGCCCCGCTTAAAATCGGCCCGATTAAGATGACGTAACGCTAGTGACGTAAATTTCGTAGTGGTCATTTAAAAGATTAAAATAAATAGTTTACCGGACCAACCCCAGAATTACGTTAGCGGGAGCATCGGGCTATAAATATATCAGTATTTTACGCGCCAATCCGAATACGATTACGCGTACGCGGAAGCGCGTGGATGCCCGATAGTAGCGGATTATGTTCCCGCCGAGCCCTAGGCCCTTTACGCCAGCGTTTTTTTTTTCTTGGCATTAAAAATACAATAAAATCGTCACTTTACGCGTCGCGTTACAGTTCTTGCCGGGGTGCGAAACGTACACTTTAAATACTTATATTTTTTATGTAATTTTTGAGGCCACGCCAGACGAGAGGTCCTAGTGCATCCGTTAGGTATTTCTCCACCATTTTCAGCGCGTTTAAACAGAGTTAAAATAAAGTTTCTAATTAGTATCCTTTGCCTAAATTAATTTATACCCCTTCCAAAGGGGGGTGGATATTACGCGGGACGTCCCGTATAGTAAAAGGCCCAGTTTAGCCCAGGCGAGAAGTAAAAAAAAAGGGGATCGATTTTCGGATATCATCGAGTGGTGAAGTTAAAGACGTTGCTCTTATCTGGTCAGTTAATCGGGTGGAACCTGTTAGAGAACAGGAAACGGACGACGTATCGTTTACGGGCCGAAGTACCGAAAATTTCGTCCCAAATCGGAACGTTTAGACCGAGTAAAATGCACGCTAGGCGGGAGTTTATTTGGCCAAAGGTTTTTGTTCGACCATTCTAACGGAACTACGGACTCTGTGGCTTCTCTTCGACTCCGATACTCGTGTGACTCGCCTATTTTCCCGGTTCTCCCGCGTGCGGCATTGTTCCGTAAACAGTTAGGACACACCTAAATTCGTCCGCCGCCATCGCGGTGTGGGAAACGCCGTTACCTCCGAACCCGGCCAAATTTTACAAAGAGCCAGCGCCGTTATACCGAATCTCGAGTCGCTCCACCCTCCAAAAATTAAAAAAAAAAAAAACAATTGAAGAGGAGGGCGCGGGTCGAAGTGGTATAAACGTGGCGGACGGTCATCCCGGCACGCGCCTGGGCTAATTGGTTAATTATCCTTCCGGAAATACACTCTCGAAGTTCCCGGATCCCTTCCGGCCAAGGGTTTAAGTCGATAAACGGGAAATTAACCCCCAACCAGATATTAATGTCGTATTTTGCCCGGTGACGTAACACCGGGGGCGCAGATCGGACGAAATCGGATTTCTGCGGGGGGGGGAGTTTATTAGCGTGGGAATGGCGCTCGAATGTTTCGAATTGGTAAAACTCTTAAGCCAAAGAGTGAAGATCAACTTCACCACCTGTCAGCTTTTTTCCCAGAGAGAGTGTCCACTTGGGAAGTCGTCTGTCGATCGGGACACGTGCCATCCACGGGGGGAGTGACGATCGGCGCGTGGGAACTGCCGCCTTAACAATAGTCACGTGCACCCAGGGAGATCGCGTGGCTCGTGGGAAAGCGGCCCTTTACCATCCCGCTACATTAAACTTACTTTATGTAGTAATCTTCGGTTTCGTAACGAGTTAAGTGCTTTTTTTTAAAGAACGTTTCCCACGCTCGCGCGCCCGAATTTCCAGGACAAGAACCGCAAAAGACGTTTACATTCTCGTTAATTACGGGAAAAAAAAAATAATAAGCGTAACCCGGGGGCGAGGGAGGCCAGTTCGAGTCGCGTGTCGAAACGGCCAAAAGTCACGCTTACGACAATTACGTATACATCGATCGGTGAGGCGACATCCGCGGGAGTAAGTAAAATTCCGTGTTCGTTGGCGTGCGCTTCCTAAATAAATAAATAAATAAAACGTCGTAGTTTAACCCGCAAATCGGCGGATTACCAAGATTTTTTTCGTGTTTGGTTTCTTTTCTTCCCCGTTTCAATGGGAAGAAACCGTCGAAAACAATGGCAGTTTGACGGAAGTCGACCTCGGACGTACAGAATCGTTCGCTCCAATTTCTGCCAACGGAAATAACGACAAACAACAACAATGAATCACAGCTTTCGCTTCTCAAATCGTCTTCCTCGTTATCTGTAACTTCTGGTGCACCTGGACCCTCCATTAAGTATCCGGCCCTCTCATTGGTCGAAAAAGTAAACTGAGCCATCTCCGGCAGTATATACACCATGGGATAGAACGGAAAGTAGTTCCCGCACTCGCCTCTGGAAAAATTCGGAAAAACGCGTCAAACCTCGGCGGGGAGGCGCTTTTATTGTTTCGCGCGCGTAATTTTGACGTAAGGGTGATTTTTATCGGAGTCGGTTGGGTTAGGGCGGAAGAGGAGGGACGTCGGCGCGGAGGAATCGGACCGAATCGCCACCCGGGATAAGTTGTACGAGTCGGAGTGGTCCGGCAGTCATTCGGAGTTGGATAGTCGCCGAGCGAGGACGCGATTTATCGCTTGTGTGATTTGTGTTCTTGTCAAGGATTTAATTCGCCTCGATGTGTCTTTACCGCTATCCTCTGTGTGGGTGAAGTGGATATTATCGCTAGGATGGGCACTCGGAATTATATCGCCTGCTTGATCGTCGCTTCTTTTCTCGTCGTTAACGTCGAAGGTAAGCCGTCGAAAACCCTTTTTTTCTCTCTTTAATCCGCGTATAGCGCGCGTCTCGTACGTCGAAACAATGGTAAAATTTGTTAGCCAAAAAAAAACAGAGTCGAGCGGCCATTCCAGTTCCAGTTTACAATTAAAAGAAGAAGAAAAAAGAATCCGAATGCTAAGGCAAGTCGGGGAAGGAAGTGTGCGTGTAGCTTAACACGTGAGGCTAAGACTGTTCCCACGGTCGCGCGAGTCGTTGGCTCTTGCTCGGGCAGTTCCTTTCTCTACCTGTACCCCCGTGACGCCGGTGAGAAGAATGGACGCGTACTCCGCTCCACAATAGACATTTTTATAACGTCCCCCCCTCCGTAGCTTTTTCGTCCCGACTTTTCCCAGTCGTGGGAGTGTCGCCGCGATAATTACCGCGTTCCGCGCGCTGCGGAGGGGGGACGAATTTCCTCCGGGTTTATCCGTGTCTTAATCCCTCCTAATCCGCGTTTCTATTAATAAAAGGAAAAAAAATGTCTCCGATTTCGACGGCGGAGTTATCTTCACCCACCGGATGTGTGACGTCACGAAGGATATAGGAATTCGTATTTTCCGCCATATCCTTCCTCCCGCGGGTGTGGAGGAATCGGTTTTTTTGTTTAGATTAATCGATAGAATTTGCAGAAGTGAACGCGGTTCCTAAGTGTGTCAGAGTACACCCTTTCGGGAAACCTAGATGTCACTAAACCTAGATGGCCTTTAATAAAGGAAAACCGTTCGAGACCGCGGCCTAGATCCGACTTTACTGGCGAGAGAGAACACCAGTCGATTAAATGTCGTTCGGGAAACTCGCGGGCGTAAAATAAAGAAAAAACGCGACAGAAATAACTTGGCGGAATAAATTTATGTTTGTATTTATTAAATAAATTAAACAACTTATTTCTATGATCAGTTTTCCTATGTTAAATTGTACATTTCAGATTGAGCTTTCAAAATGGTTATTAAATGAGGTATTTTATCAAAAATGATGTCAAACTATTGTCAAAGAGAAAAAGTCGGTAGATCACATTATTACATTATAATATTCCTAAAGTATATCAAGACATTTGGTTGAATCATTCATGATCTTCAAGCAATAATTGGTTTGCAGAAAAATAAAAAAATGATATAATTATGATAAAATCCATGAGATAAAATCTAAATCAGTTCTAAATCATATTATAATACCTTTTCACCAATTTCTGTTAAATCACCACCAGGAAGAACCTCTAGGTCAGGTAGAAGGGCACATGATTCAAGAACCAAACTATAATCATATTCATTCCATTCCTGAGTAAATAAAATATTGTCTCTTAATGTAGCATTCTGAATCCAAGCTTTCTGTGGAACATATGCAATAGAACCCTGAAATAAATAAATTATTATTAAGTAAATTCATATTATGAACTCTATCAACAATATTAAACTGAATTCAAAATTAGCACTCTATATTTCTACAATAAAATAATGTTNGACAGAAATAACTTGGCGGAATAAATTTATGTTTGTATTTATAAATGAATAATAATAATAATATTAAAAAAAGAAACAAAGGAGGTAAAAATTATCCGGTACTCTTTTACAGGTTTAGTGTCTTGTTCTCCCAACCCGTGCAAAAATGGCGCTTCCTGCGTCTCCAATCCTAGAGGCGAATCCTATTGCAAGTAAGTAAGCCCCCGGGATTTAAATCTCTTTTTCTTTTTTTAAATGTCCGTCCGAATAAGGCCCGGGCGCTCTATTGTACCCGGGCCATCTGCCGGGCAGACAATTCCGTTACTGGTCACGTGACGGGCAGGTGTGGCGGACGGGAGGACCGTTGAGGTACCTGGAGGATCGACGCGGTACCTTCCTATTCGCCAAATATTTCGGTCCGTATCGCGCGTCTAATACACGAATACGGTAAAATCGACGATTAAAACGCGGTGCGACCAAAACGTTTTTGCCTTTTCCGGAAAGCGTGGTTGGGGTGTTTCTACGCCCATTGGGGAAGACACTACCATACATTATCAATTCGGCGCGTAGAATACATCCACGCCGTACTCGATTTTTAAAAATTGGCACCGTTGGTATATAGCATGTGTCTTTGTTACCGGACCCCCCCGTTCATTTTTTTTGTGTAACCGTTCGACGTCGGAATCCGTCAAAAAAAAAAAACCAATTGTCGGAAAGCGGAATCCTCCCTTTACCCACGGGAAAATGCGGATTTCGTCGTCCATTCTAAATATTCCGCTGGAAAAAGTATTTTAATTAAGTATTGTTCTCCGGTGTAGACGCGCTGTCTTCGTGCGGAAGGAACGGTCGGTCCCTGACGCCCCTGTCGGTTTTTTTAACCCCGACGAGGCTCCGGACTGTCGGCGCAAACGTAAGAACAAAGGAAGTAGTTTTTGCGGCTTTGGACCAAATTGTGACCGATTCTCCGAAGCAACAAACGTTTTAAACGAGAGGATTTCCTGCTCAAACGAATAGAAGCGGCCGTGTCCGCTTTGCCCAATTGCCGAGTGCCGCCGCATCCGTTTTTTTTAAATTTATTTGTCGAATGGCGCTCCGTCCGAAAAAATGGGACATAAAATGCGAGTGGCCGGACGAGTCGGAGTGGAGAGAAAAAACTTCGGTAGCGGGACGGGAGGCCGGGACGGTCCCGGGCGTGGGAACGACGGGAGAGGAACAAAGGCCCGGGGCCGGTTCAGCTACCATCTGGCTTTTTAGCCGGCAAATCCGTCTCCCTCCCCCCTCCCCGGGGTTTTCGCTGCCACCCAAACGTTGGCTCGGCCACCGGAATCGAGTTTCGGAATTTCGTTCCTCTTCTCCCTCCCTTCTGTTAAATAGCCGATCGCCTTCCTAATTTTAACTACCGTTTTTCGTTCGATTCTAAGGCCGTCTCCAGATTGAAGAGAAGCAGCAGCTGGTCCCGTCTGGGCTAGGTCAGAGGTCGCCCGGTTTCTCCCTCCACTTATCCCATCCAGCCAGTGATAAGAGCAGGTGATGGAAGGTTTCCTGTCGACGTAGGTTCGAGACCAACGCTGCCACTACGCGTTACGTTCGTTTATTTTGTTACTCGCCCATTAGGCCATGGGAGATTTTTCCCATTTATATAGGACGGGCGATTAGTTTGTCCTTTCTTCCCTCGGAACTTTTGCATCCTCCGTTGGTTATTTAGTTCTTCCGTCTGCCCTATATCCGACCCACTGTTTAAGACGCTCGGCGGAGTACTCGCGGCCATTATTTCTCCGTTTCCCAACTGGCTCGCCTTGGTAATCCGCGCGGCCCAGCTCCATTTTCCGAGTTTTTTGAAAATTTCCACTTTTTCCGGCCAAATCCATTCGGTATTTTTACCCGCCTTAAGCCGCCATTTTGAAATTGCCGACGAAAGAGCCAGCCGGATGGCTCTTTAAAAAAACGGACGGTGGAAACGGTCACCCAAGCATTGACCTCGGAGGGGGAGTGGGCGTTAAAACGAGGAAGTAGCTAACGTTGGCTAATGACGGTCCCATTAACAGTTCTCTGGCCGTCATTATCGGCGGAGGAGCGCGTTTCTCAATCACAGTCGCAGATGGTACACCACCGACCTTCCCAATCTTCACCTGCTCCGCCTCGATCCGCAGCTGCCTGTTTAGGTATGCCGTCCCGTCTTGTACCGCCTTCCACCTTTGCCGCATCGTTCCAGGTGCATTCTGTTCTCAACAGCTGAATTATGTCGCCGCAGATGGCCCTTTTCCCTTTATTTATTTATTTTTTACCGTGGGTCGGAATTCCTTCCTTCCGAACTACGTTCCGACGGGCGGTGGCAGTTTTGTTTTTTAACCCGGCTAACAGTTAACTCGGTTGGGCCATCGTAACGCCTGGGACGATGCCGGCGATTAGAAACAAAGAGAAAAAAAAAGAATGGAGGACGAGATAATACGGGCTAATACGAGCTGGAAACATGGGACGTAATTGCTCTTCGTAACGTCCATTAAAGATTAATTTATGGTCCGAGATGAAAATGAACAAAAACTCGTTCCGTGTATTCTTTTCGGAATGACAACTGCCGGGCCTGCAAACCGGTCGTCGACGTCACGGCCACGCGGGGCCGAACGGACCAACGACGAGTCGTCGACGGATGCGAAAGGACCAATCGATAAGTCGGTTACTGGCTAGAAGCGGTTCAAGGCGAGGCAGGTGTAGCGAGCATCGCGTTCCCAGGAGAACTACCATGACAGGAAGGCCGATGTGCAGCGGTATGTGACCTCTCATTACGACCATCATCAGCGAAGCGAGACCAGATCTCTCTCTGTTGGTGGGAAGTCGCCGGCCAGGTGTAGCACCACCGAAGTCACCGTGTCGACGGAGAATGTCGCCCGACCCTATCCCTTTCGTCGCTTCGTTTTAGTCCCCCGGAACGACCGACCACTCTCCCCCCTTCCCCATTATGCAAAAGTGGCGGCCCATGTTTACCGCAATCGACGTCTGTGTCCAAACAATTGAACGTAATGTTACACGATAAAATATGAAATGGCGTGGGAAGCGTAATTAACCTTGACTCGGATAAAGTGGTCGAATACGGTTTCCTCGTAAAAAATTCCGTGTTTTGTGTCGGTGAATGGAGGAGAATCTTCGTCCCGAGCGCGTAATTAAGTCACTCGTCTCGACCTTTGCCAATTATCTCCGTCTTAATTACGGCCCACTTTTGGTGGTTAGAGCGCCACCTAACGTCGCAAATAGAAACTTCGGACAGTCTGGTGCGGACATATGTTGCAGAATCGGGTGTTGGTCTCCCCCGGGAACTTAACGCATTGAACGCGTTCCACTCGCCTAAGCCCGGCAGATTGCTTTTTATAGAGTGGGTCCCCCTTTCGTAGCCGGTAACGAAAATTCAATTAAGAGTGAATAGATACCGTTTGGTCTCTATACGTTGTTAATGGAGAGTGTGTCGGGTCGGTGTTACATCAATAGACTTTCGTGCACCCGATCTGTTTGTGGCTTTTTTTTGCCACCAGAATGGACTCGAGTTAAGTGGTCTTAAGAGGTTTGGGAATTGGGTAGACAGATGTCGCTTCTATATTTATAATCCGCCGTCTGCTGGTTTCGTTAATTGAAATTCGATTTTTTCCTTCGCCTTTAGCTGCCCTCCTATGTACGTAGGAGAATATTGTCAACATTTGAATCCTTGCCATACGGGACCCGGCCCGAGATGTCAAAACGGAGGCACCTGCAACGTAGAAATGAGCGTCACCAGCGGGCCCACCTTTTCCTGTTCGTGTCCCGTCGGATATTCGGCTTCCTTGTGCGAAATTACCGTCCCGAATAGTTGCGACAGCGACCCCTGTCAAAACGGAGGAACCTGCACCCTCATCACTCTGGACAATTACACTTGCGCCTGCGCCGCCGGTTACAGAGGTGAGCGCGGCTCCGAGTCGTTTATTTTCTTTTTGGCCAACTCGGCTACCGTCACTTACTGACCGATAATACTTTTACAGGTCGACACTGCGAATTAGTAGATCACTGCGCCTCGCAGCCGTGTAGAAACGGTGCCAGTTGTCAGTCGCTGGGTGATAAATACAAATGCACCTGTGCCAAAGGATACACCGGCCTCAAATGCACCAACGACATAGACGAATGCCTGAAAGATCCTTGCGTCCACGGCAGATGCGTCAATGCCGTCGGATCTTACAGGTAAACCAACACCCATTCACCCTTTATTAAATATCCTCTGGTAGAAATTACGGACGTTATAATGTATTTTGTGTCTTCGATAGATGCGTGTGCGAAGCCGGTTACACCGGACTGAATTGTGAATCTCAGTACATTCCTTGCGATCCCAGCCCCTGTCAAAACGGTGGATCTTGTCAAGTTATCGACTCGCTCAGTTATCGTTGTTCCTGCCCCGTAGGATTTACGGGAACAAATTGCGAAGTCAACATCGACGATTGCCCCGGCAATTTGTGTCAGAACGGTGCTACCTGTATCGACGGTGTCAACAGTTACACTTGTAGATGTCCTCCCACTTATACAGGTGAAAATCGTTATATTTATCTCACCACTTCTTTACCATGTTTTTAAAACCTTACGTCGTTTTTTACAGGTCCCTATTGTAGTAAGGACGTAGACGAATGCTCCCTCAGGCCTAGCGTGTGTAAAAATGGTGCAACTTGTACTAACACGGTCGGGGGATATTCTTGCATCTGCGTTAATGGTTGGACCGGGGCCGATTGTAGCGAGAACATCGACGATTGCGCGGTAGCGGCGTGTTTCAACGGCGCCACTTGTCACGATCGGGTGGGATCTTTCTACTGCCAGTGTGCCACTGGGAAAACCGGTAAGTATAGAAACATTTACGTTTTCCAACTATAAATAGTGGCGCGGATTTAATAATCCGAAATTGGCTTATTTTTTAGGATTGCTGTGCCACTTGGACGATGCCTGCACCAGCAATCCGTGTCATACCGGCGCTATCTGCGACACCAGCCCTATAGATGGCACTTACATTTGCTCTTGCCCCAACGGATTCAAAGGAGTAGATTGCACGGAAGACCTTAACGAATGCGAAGAAGGTAAGGATACGTTCGTAGTAGGCTGTCCGTGTGGATAGCGGGAAAGATGTTTAATGGAGTTTTTATCGTTAGGTTCTCCTTGCGAACACGGCGGAACTTGCGTTAACACCCCGGGTTCGTTTCATTGTAACTGTACCAAAGGATTTACTGGACCTAGATGCGAAATCAACATAAACGAATGCGATTCTAATCCTTGTCAGAACGATGGAACTTGCTTAGACGAAAGAGGAGGATTTCGTTGCGTCTGTATGCCCGGTAAGTGAACAGGAATAATTGGAATACGAATGTATTTTGACGAGAGATAAGAAATTATTTGGTTCATTGCCATTTGTGTACACAAAAAACTGTTTATTCGTTTATGAAAGTAGAGATTTCGCCTGCTGGGACGATATACTTACCGCCCGTAGCGATTGGACAAGGCTAAGGTATAGAAATCTGGAACCAGTCACTCAGAAGTAGTAGCCGAGTTCAGGTTGGAGGTCATCTTTCAGACCGGATGTTGTGACGTCAGCGATCCCCCATTCTTTCCTCTTCTCTTCCAAGGCCTCTCGTCTGGTTGCTAGACGAGTTTGTCTCCGTTTAGACATTGCGCTTCCAGGCAACTTCTCCCTGCCCCGTTCACACGAAATCCGGAGGAAGGAGTTCCCTGAGAATCATTAATGATACTTTGATCCCTTTCGGATTATATACGCTTACTTGCTGGCTGCAAAAAATTGATTTTCCAACATCATTATCACTTTCATCTGCAGAAAAACTTGTCTCAATTAAAAAAAATAATAATTTCATTTGAATTCAAACTAGAATCTTATCTCTCGTCTCTCCATTTACATTACTGTTATTAGTAATTTTTAATTTGCCAGTCGTCTAAAGAAGAAAATAAATAATTTTTAGGTTACAGTGGAAGCCATTGTCAGAACGACATAGACGAATGTTCTCCCAACCCCTGTCTTAATGGAGGTATATGTAGTGATAGAATCAATGGATTTAAGTGCCTCTGCCCAATCGGTTTCTCTGGAAAGAAGTGCGAAGTAAATGACGACGATTGTCTCAGTCAACCCTGCCAGAATGGTGGAACATGCACTGATGGAATTGCCAGCGTAACCTGCGAATGTCCTCCCGGTATGTGCTCGCTAATCACTAAATTATCACTTCCTTTTTCGTTCTCCACGCACACGTGTATTTTTTTTATAAGTACTTTTAATAAACGTATCCGTTTTATTTTTAGGATTTACGGGTACAAATTGCGAAACTAACATTAACGATTGCTTATCTTCTCCCTGTCATCACGGGGAATGTATTGACGGCACCAATTCGTTTACTTGTTACTGTCATCCCGGTTACACCGGACTTCTTTGTCAGACTCAAATCAACGAGTGTCTGAGCAATCCGTGTCAACACGGAGGAAGATGCGAAGATCTCATTAATGGTTATCAATGCCGGTGTCGCCCCGGCACTTCCGGACCCAACTGCGAATATAACGTCAATGAATGTTTTAGTAATCCGTGCAGAAATGGCGCCACCTGTGTGGACGGAATCAATTCCTACACCTGTCAATGTCTACCGGGTTTCACAGGTAGGATGGCATCCTTTTTACCTATCTGTTAAGAGCCAATTAGCTCTAGTCTGTGGTTATTAATGGAATTAAAATCGTTGTAGGAACCCATTGCGAGACAAATATTGACGAATGTGCTAGTAGCCCTTGTGCCAACGGAGGGGTTTGCACGGATTTAGTCAATGGCTTCAAATGCGATTGTCCTAGAGGATATTACGATGCCCGCTGTTTATCCGATGTCAACGAATGCGCCAGTAATCCGTGTATCAATGGTGGAACGTGTGAAGACGAAGTTAATAAATTTATTTGCCATTGCCCCCGAGGTACGTTGTAGCCCGAAAGTCGTATTTTTCTCGTGTTTTTAGTGAAAAATACCCTAAAATTACTATTTTTTTTCCATATTTTAGGTTATGGTGGATACAGATGCGAGCAGGACATCGACGAATGTCAGTCTAACCCTTGCCAACACGGAGGAAGCTGTCACGACGGTCTGGATAGTTATAGCTGTACCTGTCTTGCCGGATACACCGGAAGAAATTGTGAAAGCAATATCGACGACTGCGCCAATAATCCGTGTTTGAATGGTGGATCCTGTATAGATTCCATTAATGCCTATCAGTGTGTATGCGAAGTGCCGTTTACGGGAAAGAACTGCGAACTAGAATTGGATCCGTGTAGCCCGAATAAATGCAAAAATGGAGCAAAGTGTACAGCCTCGTCTAATTATTTGGATTTTGCTTGCACTTGTGAATTAGGTTACACCGGTAATTATCATTATTACACACGTAACTCTACATAAACTTTACACACATATAAATTATATAACGTAATTTTTTCAGGACGTCTCTGTGATGAAGATATTGACGAATGCGCCATATCTTCGCCTTGTCGTAATGGTGCGACGTGTAGTAACAACGATGGCTCCTACACTTGTATATGTGCCAAAGGTTACGAAGGAAGAGATTGCTTAATAAATACAGACGACTGCGCCTCTTGTAAGTAGTAGTATTTAAAATACTTCTTTGCCAAATCTAAAAAGCAAATCTGTATAAAATAATTATTTATTTTATAGTTCCTTGTCAAAATGGAGGCACCTGTTTAGATGGGGTTGGTGAATATAACTGTTTATGTGTTGATGGATTTGGAGGAAAGCACTGTGAAAGGGACATCAATGAGTGTGCGAGTAATCCCTGTCAGAATGGTGCAACTTGCAATGATTATGTCAACAGTTACACTTGTACTTGTCCCTTGGGTTTCAGTGGAACAAATTGTCAAACCAATGATGAAGACTGTACACCCAGGTATGTTTATAAAACTTATTTATTTTGCTGTTCGTAATACGTGGTTGTTTGATATTACTATACTCACATACATATTTTCTCTTACAGTTCTTGTATGAATGAAGGATCCTGCATTGATGGAATAAACAATTATAGTTGTCAGTGCACTCCCGGATATACAGGATCTAATTGTCAGTATCATATTAACGAATGTGACTCTCAGCCTTGTCAAAATGCTGCAACTTGCATCGATCACATTGGCTTTTACACTTGTCATTGTCCTTTCGGATATACTGGACCTAGATGCGAGGTAAATATTTTTTGATTTTTAATGAATGCCTTAAAGAGAATTTACTTTGTTATAATTAATATATTATTTTAACTGTCTTATGTTCTGCAGACATTTGTAGATTGGTGTAGTACTAATCCTTGCATGAATGGAGCCACTTGCAAACAACAGAACAACACTTACAGATGCACTTGTCAACCTGGCTGGACAGGAATGCTCTGTGATGTTTCGATGGTTTCGTGTTCCGATGCAGCTTTGCAGAAAGGTAAATTAGAAAGAATTATTTAATTAACTTTAATTATCGAAAATATTCTTAAAAATTTACTTATTCATTTTTATTAACAGGTATTGAATTAGGAGATCTTTGTAAAAATGGAGGTACCTGTGAAAATATCGGAAACAGTCATCATTGTTTATGTCCAAATGGATACGATGGTAGTTACTGTCAACACGAAATCAACGAATGTGCTTCTCAGCCCTGTCAGAATGGTGCAACTTGTAATGACTTAATAGGTCAATACACTTGTGACTGTCCCCCTGGTTTCCAAGGTAGCTATTAAAACACTTTATAAACAGATGAAAATTTCTTTATTCAATAATTTAATTGGACATTAATTTCTAGGATTAAACTGCGAGTTTAATATCAATGACTGCGATCCCAATCCGTGTCGAAATGGTGGAACGTGTCACGATCTCATCAATAAATTTGTTTGCTCTTGTCCTCATGGAACACTTGGAATTTTGTGTGAAATTAATGTAAATGAATGTTTTGAAGGAGCTTGTCATCATGGTGGAACCTGTCTCGACAAAGTTGGGGGTTATGAATGTCAGTGTCAGCCAGGCTATGTGGGACCAAGGTATTAATATATTTATGAAAAAAATAGAAGCAAATTTTTTGTGCTTATATTTTATTTCATTGTATATTAACATAAATCATTTGTTCGATTATAGATGCGAGGGCGACGTCAACGAGTGTCTTTCGAATCCTTGTAGTAACGTGGGAACTCAAGATTGTGTTCAGCTAGTGAACGATTATCGCTGCGACTGTAAACTCGGATACATGGGGAAACATTGTGAAACAAAGGTCAATTTTTGTTCGTCTAACCCGTGTTTAAATGGAGGTGTATGTAATGGAAATGCATTGGGTCATACGTGTATTTGTGCCGAGGTAAGAGTAATTCCAATTTGTTTAAATTCACAGCTTAATATATAAATTTAAAATATTGATATATCAAAATAAAATTTTAGGGCTTCTGGAGTGAAGATTGCAGTAGAACTAACACAACATGTGCAAGTAATCCTTGTAAAAATGGAGGCCAGTGTCATCCACATCAACATAGTTATGCTTGTACTTGTCCCAAAGGTATTGCAGGAAAACATTGTGATGTAGATATATTTGATGAGTGTTCATCATCTCCTTGTCTGAATGGTGGAGTCTGTGTTGATGAAATGGGTAAGTTTTTGTTTTCAATAAATTTAAAAATTTAATTAATTATATTAAAAAAATTAATAATTATTTTTTTCCTTCATTTATAGGGAAATTTATTTGCAAATGTCCAGCAAATTGGAATGGATACCATTGTGAAACTTTTGATCCCTTTTTTAAAGGAGGCGAGGGATCCGTAGTCACACCAAATACAATTCCTCAAAAATCATTGGATGAAGAAAAGAAATTATGTCAGAGTAACGACTGTGAACTGAAATCGGGAAATAGAATATGTAATGAGGAATGCAATAGTTATGCATGTAATTTTGATGGTGGAGATTGTTCCTTAGGTAAATATCCAACCATCAGTTATATTATAATGCAAAGTAATAAATGAAAGTTTATATTCAAAAAATGTTGTTGTAAATTTCAGGAATAAATCCTTGGGCAAACTGTACCGCAGCCATTAAATGTTGGGATGTTTTTCGTAATGGAAAATGTAATTTTGAATGTAACACCATGGACTGCCTATTTGATGGATTTGACTGTGCACAAACACTTCCTCCTTGCAAGTAAGTTACTAATTATATAAATTGGAAAATTCTGTTTAATTTGAAAATCTTATTTTAAAATTAATTTAACCAATTTTTGAATTACAGTGAACAATATGACACGTATTGTCTGAAAAACTACGCTAATGGATATTGTGATAATGGTTGCAATAATGAAGAATGTAATTGGGATGGTTTAGATTGCGAACCAGACCCACCAAAATTAGCAGAAGGCAGTCTTGTTATTGTTGTTATGATGGATCCAAATATATTTAGGAATAACAGTGTATCTTTCTTGAGAGAAATTGGCCATGCTCTTCGCACAAATGTCAGAATAAAATCTAGTGATGATGGAAATCCTATGATTTACCAGTGGCAAAAGCCAGATCCTTCGGGAACTCCCAGCCGACATGGACCAGTTAATCAGTTTGGGTAAGTGGAGTTAAAACATTTAAATTTAGAATGTGTAAATCTTTTGTTTTCTGTTGGAACTAAAAAGCTTTTATTATTTATAGAACTGAAGTATATTTAGAAATTGATAATAGAAAATGTTCCATGTCCATTGTCAACGATTGTTTCCATTCAGCATCAAAAGTAAGAAATCATGAAAGATGAAATTATAATATAATATTAATTGAATTAAAATCTCAATTCTTATAAAAATTTTATTTTGTAGGCTGCACAATTTTTAGCTGCTGCACATGCACGACATGCATTAGATACTGCTTTCAATATACATGGAATAAGTGGTTCAGAAGAACATATAGAGCTGCCACCATCAGATTCTGGCTATCCTAACATGGTTTATGTGGTTATTGGAGGAATTGTTATTGTTCTTCTTGGTTTGTTGGTTGGAGTTTTAATAACAACTCAAAGAAAGAAGGCACATGGAATTACTTGGTTTCCAGAGGGCTTTTTACGAACAAGTGGTAGTCAGAGAAGACAATCTAGGCGTCGTGGACCTGATGGCCAAGAAATGAGGTAAGAAGAAATATTATAAAATATTTTTCTTTTGTTTATTTTTAAATGTTTATCAATTATCTATCTACATAAATAAAAATGTAAATGTTCTTTGTTCAATATCTTAAATTTCCAAAAGTTCTTAACCGATTGCTTTGAAATTTTGACACAACAGTGCATTCAAATACACACGTGTTTTTATATTATATGGATGTCGAAATCCCCCTGCAGGGGAGAGGAGAAAATTAAGGCTTACCGTGAAGAACTGGTCTTCTATTATTCTATTTTAGATGTGGTTTTTTGCATTTTTAATTCCATTTTAATAGGGTACATCAAGAGAATGTACACTAAGAAGGGATTTTTCAAAATTTCCTCCCATGGGGAGTGTTATACATTTATAATAGATACATTTTGAGCCACAGCTAGTTAAAAATGAACAATTGCTTTATTATCAATTCATTTAGAAATTATAAATACATAGTATTTTATTTATTTTATGATAGAAATTTCCATAAACAAGGACACCGAATTGATGAAATGGGTGATGGACATTCGGCTCCGACAGACAGTGGACAATGGAGTGATGACGATTTAGAACATCCTCCAATGAAAAGATCTAAATGTGATCGTTCTCCAGATCCAAGTTTCGGAGATACGCACACTGTAATTACTACTACAGATTATGATGAAAACGATCCACGTCCATGGACACAACAACATTTAGATGCAGCCGACATTCGGAATCCAGACATTTTAGCATTAACTCCTCCACAACGAGATGGCGATTTAGAAACTGGAACCGTAGACGTTGATGTCAGAGGACCTGGTGAGTCAATTTATATTGCTTAAATAATTGGAAATTTTTTTTTATAATTTATGAAGAATATCTTTATAAATTTATTGTTTCTTTTTAGGTGGCTTAACACCCCTTATGCTAGCATCTTTCCGGGGTGGAGGCTTAGACACAGGTGATGATGGAGAGGAAGAGGATGGATCGGTAAACATGATACAGGATCTTTTAATGCAAGGGGCTAAAATTAATATGACCACAGAACGTACAGGTAATTCATCATACTATTTTATCTTAATAACCAATAAAATATTTGTGTAAACTTTGAATATAAGAAAAATTTCAGTTTAGTTTTATTAATTATGTAATTTCAGACTACATAAGATATTTTCCATTACCTAAAATAATTTATCATTTCCTTATATAACTTTTGTAATAAAAAAAAATTTTTTTCAGGAGAAACTTCTTTGCATCTTGCTGCAAGATATGCACGTGCTGATGCAGCAAAAAGATTATTGGATGCTGGTGCAGATGCAAATTCTCAAGACAATACTGGCCGTACTCCTCTACATACTGCAATTGCTGCTGATGCTCAAGGAGTTTTCCAGGTAATTATTCAAAATTTTCAACAAAAAAAGTATTACTATAAAATGTTATAAATTTGAATTTTGATTAGATTAATGCTACAAATTTTTGAAGACAGTTATAGACCATTTCTATTAAAAATTAATAAATGTACATTTCTTAATTAAAATTATCCACTGTCTTAAATTGATAACATAATAAACAATGAAATAATTAAAATACAGAAGTTATAATGCATGTTGATATAAAACATCTTTTATTTTTCTACAGATTCTTCTTCGAAATCGGGCTACAAACCTAAATGCACAGATGCATGATGGCACAACTCCATTGATTCTTGCTGCACGTCTTGCTATTGAAGGAATGGTTGAAGATTTAATCAATGCTGAAGCTGATGTAAATGCTTGTGACGATCAAGGTACATATTATTTTAAATTTTACTAGAAAATATAATAGTTTAAAATCAAATTTGAAATTAATTAAATTTTTCCCAATTGCAGATAGAACAGCTTTACATTGGGCTTCATCAGTTAATAATGTGGATGCTGTGAGAGTGTTGCTTGCTCACGGAGCCAACAGAGATGCTCAAGATAAGAAGGATGAAACACCATTGTTTTTAGCTGCAAGAGAAGGAAGTTATCAAGCTGCTAGAGTTCTTTTAGAACATTTTGCTAATAGGGATATCACAGATCACATGGATAGATTACCACGTGATGTAGCGTTGGAAAGAATGCATCACGACATTGTCCGTCTTTTGGATGAATATATTCCACCAAGTCCACAAATGAGTAGTTTATCTGGTGCACCTCTAGGATGTTCTCCATCAATGATTCCACCACCAACAGTAATTGGATCTACAAAATCTGTAAAACCCAAAAAGAGGCCAAAGATGAACACAATAGCAGGTCTTCCCTCTGCAAAAGATGTAACTGATGCAGCATTATTAATTGCTGGTGATGCAGCCATCAGAAGAAAAGCATCTGTAAAGAAACGAAAAGAACCATCGCCTTTGATGACAATGGATTGTTCCACAACTCTTTCACCTGTTAATTCCCTTGAATCTCCTTGCACCAATAGTTATCTTGATGGTACACCATCTCCTCTGGATAATAATTTATATAGTGGTCATATGCTAGCAATGTCTCATCCAAATCTTGCTAGTATTGATAATAATTGTAACATGTCTGTAAAGGAGCCACCATCTTATGAGGATTGTGTAAATAATGGTTCACAGTTAGGATATGGAATGAGTGGAAATATGGATCCTGCATCTATGGGATTTGGTGGACAGATCTATGTTAATAGCTGTGGCATGATTGTACCTATTCAGGGAACACAGACTCTGAAATCTCATCATCCCAGACAAAATTCAATGCCCATTAGTCTTGCAACACAGCATATTCCTACCTCACATCCATACACTGTCACATCTCATAAACAAAGACCTTCTCTTCCTACATCACCTACTCACATGGCTGCTATGAGAGCTGCTCACCATCAAAAAACTGTTCAATTACAATCTCAACAAAGTGCCAATTCAAGTTCATCATATGAATATCCATCAAATATGACGAATCTTCAGCATCTTCTCAGTAATACGCTTCCAAAAAGCAGCATGACACAAACGACGACAGCCAACCAACAAGTCATCTATTCTCATCAGTATCATTATCCCACACCACCTTCGCAGCACAGTCACGGTGGCGCAGAGGCAACACCTCAGCACTATTTCCATGCACCCGAAACATATCTAACGCCTTCTCCCGAATCGCCAGGTCAGTGGTCTAGTAGTTCTCCTCATTCTGCACAATCAGACTGGTCTGAAGGTATTTCTAGTCCTTTGGGGCCCACAAATTTACATCCCATTGTTGTGGATCCTAGCCAACAACAACAATCTCAACAACAGTCTTCTCAAGCTCAAGGATTATCTTCACAACATCCACCTCCAGAGGCTGTCTTTATCTGAACAGTGCCTTTTTAAAAATTATATAGACAATGCAAAGCTTTGTTTATTGTGAAAAGACATTACAATACAATTGTTTTGCAGCAATGTGATTAAAAGTGTCTTTTACCATGACATTTACTTTCGCACAATCATTTTTAGAAAACGGGCGCATTCGCTGAATTAAGTACAGCATATTTATTAAATGATACACGGTTTATCATAACTTATGAACTTTTAAAGTATAGTTTTACATTGTATTGACAAGGGTACTATCAATCTGAAATTATTTTTTATTTCATTATACAGTATAAAAGAAGAGTAGAAAAAATAATTGGTACCAAAAATACCATTGAAACAAGTACTATTTTTATGTCATAAAACTTAGAAGTAAATATATATTTATATTTTTGTACATAATCAAAAATTAATGAATACTTGGTTTTGGGACCATTTATGCAATGAATACTTTAATAAAATGAAGTATAATTGATTGTATAAAAGCATTATTAATGAATACTTTGTAAAATTTTGTATATACAATTAAGATTGAATGTAAGAAGTTATACTTAAATAGTTCATGTAAATATACATTTTTTTAAATTATATTAATTTGTATGAATGTGTGCATCAGATATGATAAATGTTACATAAAGGGAGTTTAGAAAGTTTTGTTCATTTTTCATGTCTACTAAACAACCATAAATCTGGTTGAAAATTTTGTATAATTTTTTTTATACATAATAAAAAATGCCTTATTAATTGTGTGTTGGTTATAAATTTAAATTAATTTTAGAATTACTTTTGATCAATATTTTTCCTTTTCTCAAAAACTACTTTATTCAACTCTATATTTATGATTAGACTAAAACTTACTTTGAGAAAGTCTTATCTGTAGTAAGGGTGGTCGGTAGAGTTGCAAAATAGCCTAAGAGAACAAATCTATTTAGGGCCAGAACAAATGTTTTTCAACAATATAACAAATATAAACAAAATAACAAATATTTTTCATTAAAAAATTATTTTGGCATAGAATATGACAATATATGGGTTGAAATGAGAATCAACAGATGGACTCCACAGAAATTTTGGTGCTGAATCCATCTCAGAGTGAAATACATGAACTGGGCCAATCCTCAAAAATATTTGTGCTGGTACAGAACTTCCACGCCTAATTTTACAAGCAATAACATCCAGCCTTTACACTGACCAACTCCATCATTATTAATTTCAGAATCAAATTCAAATCAGAATTCTTCAAAGCACTGATACTTATTTAAAAATTCATTAATTGAAGAATAAATACTCAAGCTCCATAAACAATTTTCGAATAATAGATTTTACATTTATGACAATAAAGCATTCTGCAAGTAAAGTTTTGTAAAAAATTATATATTTAGCAAACATTCAGATCATATGATACACTAGAGCATAATTTTATTGTAAAGTTATCTGATAAAATGTGAGAATAAATTTATTATTTATTATAATTACAAACATCAGGATCAGGTTTTATGTTCCTAATTTTTCTAAATTAGGGAAATAAATCCTGATATTCATAAATATAAGTGCCAAATTATACAGAATTTAGAAATTCTATTATTCTAAGAAATTTGTTAATAATTGAATGAAATTATTACTAGTTATATGTTCTGAAAGCTTATTAAATTTTAGTAAATATACAGACTATCTGAAGTGCTCATTCCAAACTGCACTTCATCCATTTTTAAAAATTTTTACTTTCCCGGCTGTTATATAACATAACAGGGCAATTGGTCAAAAAATGACCCCAAAGATTTTTACATTTTTGGATTCAGGACCTTGAAATATCAAGAAATGCAAAAACTTTGAGGTTTTTCTCATATGTATGGATATTACTTTGCATATATGGGGGACAATTTTGTTCACCTGCTTTAAAGCTTAACTCCAGTGCCTTTGTCAAAAATTTCAGAAATTTTGCAGGGAAGTTAGTGTATGAGGGGATTGATGCTATTAAATTTTGGTAGTTAAAGGTTGAGGGAGTAGAGAGATAAGAGTCATGTCTCATATCTCAAGTAGGGTTGGCCTTAATGAAGATTTTATTCCTTATAAGCATATACATCTTTTATTTTTATAAAACTCATCTCTACCCTCAAAATTAAGCTTTTTGCCATTTTATAATAATTAATAACATAAAAATGTTTTAAATAAAAACTCGTAACAAATGATGTCTCTCACAATTTTCCACTCTTGCTGAGAAAGTTACACAACTCATTGCTGGATTTTTTGTACCATCTGTATTATCAAATTTCTAACATAAAATACAATCATAATAAAATGTGTTTATTGTTAAAAATAAGCTTATAGCATAAAAATTTAATGTTGAAAATTGAATATTATTCCAAAATGTGTCTTATCCATACTTTCAATGATTCAAAAACTTGTCTTATCTATCTTATGAATTTAAATATCTACCCAAATGTTTGTTTAAATTATAATTCCATTGGCTAGCAGCTTACATTATGTCCATCTATTCTATGTGTTAGTTTATAAACCAATGTTAGTATTGTCAAATTTCAAAAGATTTTATTGAGTACCGAAAATTAAGTGAAAGTGGATAAAACACACTTTTGAATGACATTCCTTTTAAGACATCAGAGAAATATAACCTATTAAGTAAATTTAGCAATTCCTGGGTCTATTGATCCATATCTAATTTTTACATATTTATACATATCACTACTATCTGTTGCATCCATCAAGAATTTATCAAGATGTGATTGACTGACTATATATTACTTTTCCATCGACAATTGTGTGCTTTATATGTATTGTTTGTTTACAATGCATACAATTGTCTGCTGGAAAAGTAAGCAAGGTGTGTTTATCAATATAGTTACATTTATTATACTTGTGTCCACTTTGGATGTTCTTGTAAACATCCAAAGTGGACACATGTATAATATAAGTAATTAAGGACAAGAAGCATGTATCAAAATAGTTACATTTAAACACTATCTTTTATAGAAATGTGATACCACATCAGATCAGTATTATTTCTTTGTTATCTATTCATCATATGGTTACTTAATAAAATTTTTACTTTTGATGAATACAACTTTTGTTCTTTACAACTATTCACTCAAAATCATTTCATTTTTCAATTCTATATCTTAATACAATGGCTTATAAATATATATAGATTAAATTTCATGAAAGTTTTAAATAACAATACATAAATATTATTTAATCTCTCAGTTTTGAACAATTTTAAACTAGGTCTGCCCATGTAAGCCATACACCTCACTCTGCTTGCTCACAGACTTAACATTGTGAACTTTGACTTCGTAAATCTCTGGTCACAGGTCAAATTTTAAATTGTTGTTTGCATCATGACCTAGACTGAGGTGAATTCTATTTGTATATAAAAAAAAAATGAATTAAATCAGTTAAGCAGTTTTGGTGGAGTTAACCATCATACAAATATAAAAGTCATTGCCAAGAGAGAACTAGTCTCAGTTAAGTTGAATGAAAAACTCTTAACTGATAATAAAAAGTAGGATTAAAACTGGAAAAATAATTTATAGTAATTTCTCTAAAATAAGATAATGAAATGTAATATTCTTTTTTTTCTTTTTGAACTCTTCCTGCCTTGTGGGCCAAAAAAAGTCCTCTTAAGTTTGACTAGACTTACAATGGGCAGTTGGGTGGTGACGGACAAACTTATTATTATAAATCTGTCCTATATGCATAGGAGAGCCCTATTTATCTAGGACAGATTTCTCATTAAAAAATTTGCTAGGTTTCTTGCCTAGACTTATTCCTAAACCATCTAGAACAGCAGCCTGACACCTTTACCACTTCATCCATCTAGTTGTTTGCAATATATTCCTTGATGAATCAATATTTAAAATTATTAATGTCTGATGCTGTAAGTAATAACTAAACCTATTTTGTTATATAGTAGTATATTTGATGATAAAAAAGAAAAGTTTTCAATCTAAGTTCATAAATACTTGTGTCAACATATAATGACTATTAAAAAAGGTAAGCCTTGTGTGTTAATAAAACAAAGAAATTAGCAATGACAACACAATGTGTTTTTGTATGAACAGGACACAGATCAAGTAAAGAAAAAAATTAATAGTAGTTAGTGTAACATTTTTCACTTTGAGTTCATTGTATAAGATTACTAAATTAATTACTATTAATTAATACTATTGTTACAAAATACACAAAATTATACTGTATGACTGCTTGTTAGAAAAACTGAGCCTTCATTAATAAATTCTGTATATGAATATGATTGTATCTATATTCTAATTATTGTGCAAATGTCTTTTGATTAAAAAAAAATCAATTATAATGCCATGGCAATGTCATTAAATTTGATTTCCTATGATGATAATTTTCCAAATTGAATACTGATTTCCAATACTTTTGAATGTCAACTTTAAGAGCATTGATATCTTCAGATCTTCAAGGCTATTTCATCATCATCATCATCTATATAATTACCCAAACTACTTCAATAATGATAACACTAATATGAAAATAATTGCATGCAATTTTCATGAAAGTGATTTGTAAATTATATTTTCAGCTACTATATTAAATATTTTACAATTCATACATTTTCTGAAACAAAACTGTTAATATGTTTAAATTATCCTTTAATATTTAATCAGCATTTAAAAGTGACACCTGACAAAAATTTTATATCCTTGCTCAATTTTAATACCATCAGTTCAATTATAATGTAATTACATTCCTGAAAATTACTAGTAAGCCACTTAAACCCATTTCAACATTTTGAAAATAAAAGTATTTATTTTTAAGATCTAGTTTTATACTCAATGCATCAGGATTTTTGTTATTCTATTGATAAAAAAATGTTAAGTTGGCATTTAAATAAAAAGTGTCAGATAGAATTAACAAGAACCACTACTACTACTACTACTACTACTACTACAACCAGTATTATAAGGTCCTTTATATAAGTATTTTTTATATTAAAAAGACAATAGAATCCTTAAATAATAAGATTTTTCTTTATTTATACATATTTATTGAATTTGTCTAGTTAGTATTACAACTAACAATGTTACTTTTTGTTTTTAAATCTACAAATTGATTGATAATGTTATCATAATTTAATAAATTTTTTCAGGCATATTATCTTTGTTATGTAATTTTTGAAGCCCCTCAAGATGAGGCCCTAGGAGCATGCCTAGTGTGCCTATTGGGCAATCCATCACTGGCTAAAACTGTTACTAGAACTGTTTCAATATGAATAAAGTATTCAGAAGTGACATTTCTTACGTTAGTAGTGATGCCTTCTGTAAAGAATTTGTAATTATGTTTTCTGTGGATGTTGCACTCATAATAAAACTTTTATATATATATATATAAAAATGGACGTGTATGTCCCTATATTTCACTTTTCCGCCAAAACTACACATTGCACGTGAATGGTGTTTGTATGTAGTAGTAGCCCAAGTCTCCATTCACGCACTATGGGGGTTGCATCTCGATAGCTATAAGGGTGCAGGAGATATGGGGCTGAAAGTGGTTGAAAGTGGTTTTCTATTTCGAATGTTATGTTCGAATTTGTTCGAATTTAATTCGAACAATATTCGAATTAAATTCAAACATAAAATTTGAATATTGGTTCGATTATAGAATGATTGTAAACGTTCCAGAAATGTTAAAAATAGTTCATTTGACTGGACGTGAACAGGAGACATTCAGAAATAGAATCGGGACCAGGTCTCTAATTAGTCTGGAAACGGGGGACCTAATTCTTGCATTCTGTGAAAACGGGTAAGATTGGCTATAATGTAATTATCTTAATCTTCACTATCATTACTTTTTGCCCACAAATAAAAACCCAGCGAAGCGGGTCCTTGCAGCTAG